TTATCTGGGGTCAGAGACAGAACAGCTACAATATTATACATAGAGGATAGGCAGTGGTAGCACATGCCTTTAATCCTAGCATTCCAGAGGCAGAGATCCATGTGTTCAAGGATACCGCCAAGCATGGTTACTCACGCTTTTAATCCCAGAAAGCAAGCCTCCCAGGGAGTGAGGCAGGGAGCAGAAAAACATATAAAGCGTGAGGACCAGAAACTAGAGGCATTTGGCTGATTAAGCTTTCAGGCTTTGGAGCAGCAGCTCAGCTGAGAGCCATTGGGATGAGGACACAGAGGCTTCCAGTCTGAGGAAACAAGACTGAGAATTTAGCCAGATGAGGTTAGCTGTGGCTTGTTCTGTCTCTCTGACCATCCAGCATTTCACCCCAATACTTGGCTCAGGTTTGATTTCATTAATAAGACTCTTTAAGATTCATGCTACACCTTTAGTCTGCGATTTGCAATATATTTGACCATAGGCTTCTGGGCCTCTATGATAAATTTAATTAATTAACTGTCATTAGACTTTCAAGTGTTTTTTGCCCTTTATATGTAGCAGCTTTTTGTAAATAAGATAGCTGGAGGGGTAGGGATAGAATGGAGAGATCTACATAGAATCTCCCTATGAATTTCCCACCTCTTTATCTCCATTCCTTCTCACCTTTTGTATACTTTCCTAAAACCTATATGAACGAACTAGAGTGTAGTCTAAGAAAAGACACAGAGTTTTAGCAGACAGCATTATTTGCTTGTAACCACTTCTCTCCTTTTTTTCTTCCCCAAAGCTTCCTTGGGCATGGAATACATTACCCATCCTATTGACTTTGGGTTTGGCCATGGAACTTTTATAATTTTGTGGGATGAGAACAGAACTTGATCCTATGCCAATGTTGACCCCAAAGGTTTTCTTGTACCTGCTTCATTTCTAGTATTCATGCACTCCCCAGTTGGGAGGGTGGGACACATGGCTGGTAACCATAGTTACTACAGGATGAGACATAAGGAGCAAATCAAACCACTCCACAGTCTAAACTGAAGGCCACTTTCATTCAGCCAATCTCAAGCTAGCCTAGAAGAGACCAAGATAATTCATAATTTTTTGTGCAAGAAAAAAAATGTCACTAAGCCACTATGATTTTGTTGTCATTTGTTATGCATAATAATTTCAAAGAAGTAAGACCTAGATAACACATAGGACCAAAAATCTTAGATTACTTAGTGTTGAGAGACAGAGTTTGGATGAACTTTCTTTCAATCCAGGTATTTTCAGACCCTTGCTGAGGTTGTATTGTGATGGATACAAGTGTATGGCAGAAAAGTATCTAAGGTTAATCATTAGTCTTTAGAAAATAGATGTTTTTAGATGTTGCTATCTGAACTAGATAGTAAGTTAAAATCATGCGTGACTAACTCTTCTTCCACTCATTATTTACATCAATTCCTTTTAGGGATGATTGCTTTTCCATATTTGAAAACGGATAACACAATGTTGAGATTTGAATTTGAACATCTTTGGGTAAATAAATTCCACTTTTAAGCAAATGGATCTATTTTCTACATGACTGGAGATGGACCCAGGGAAAATAAGAAGGAAGAATGAAGTCTTTGAGTAACTTGGACCAGTTTTTAGCTGGAGGAAGAAGATCAGTCACAGTCTCATTTCATTTTTTCCCATTTCTGTAGTTTATTCTTAAAAGTCGGAGGCCCAGATTTCCTGCTCAGAATCTCCGGAGCTCTCAGACTTTGGCAGTTCCATGTATCAGCCTTATGAATGTATCAAAGGGAAGAAGGAACCTCAAACCACTCTCTCCTCCATCATCCTGTGTTGGAAACAACTTGCCTCTCGTATGTCCGTATTCCACCCTTGACTTCTGCCTTTCTTTGACTCTGCAATGTGCCATTTATAAGCACACCTCATTTCACCTCTAGAATTCTCAGCCATGTCTGCTTTCCAGATCTATTTACTATCCTTATGTCTGCTGCTGGCTGGCCACCATTTACAATGGACTATCCCAAGCGGCTTTTAGTTCTTTCCACTTGAGTTTGGCTCCTCCTTTCTCATACTCATACAGAGTGAGAATGATCACTCATCTTAAAAATTTCTTCAGGTTGCCCTACTGTTGTTGAATCTAATTATTACAAAGAACTATAATGCTGTCCATGACTTGACCCCATAATAATTATAATTTTTTCTTTTGCTCATTTATAGTAATCCCATGGTGCAAGGAAGCACTTATAAATGTAAACTATCTTGAAGCTTTGCTGTCAAGAGAATTTACATGACACCTCTTCTGACCAATTGATGTATGTACTGCCAAAGTGCAAAATAGTTTCAAATTCTGATGAATGGACCACATGTACCTTCTTGCTTTGGCATATGATGTGCTTGACTTAGCATGGCATTACAAAGTCCAATCCAATTGATCATATTAGAGAGGAATTTCAAGGAACTGCCTAAATATATTCTAAGATTCTTTTGTCTGAGTCTTGACTAATTTCCAAGCTTCTTCTATCATACTGGAGATGTACTAGCATAGAATCTCTGTTAAACACTAAGCATTTATCATAAGTTAATGATGTATTGTTTCTTCCTGTTATTTAATAATCTATTGTTATTGTAAGTCCTAAATTAAATTTGTTTTCTACTTCCTAGGATGTAGCAGTAGGAAAACGGTGGATAACACAGTGCCAAGGTTGACTTTTGTGAGTTCTTGGAGATTTCAAACAGCAGATGGGAATCTGTTCTTTTAAGTGACTGTTTTTAAATGTACAGGTGAATTCTCAGTATCTATCTACTTTACTAGCCCTCAAACAAATATACAAACAACCCTCTCCAAATTAGAATTCTAATTTCAAGAGATCTTCTGTTCTTTTGAGTAGACTAATCCAGTATGTTAGCGATTGTTGTTTACACAGATGTTCAGAGTTGGCCCTTCTGAATTTTAGTATGTCTAACTAAATATACCAAATCTCTTGTTCTTTACTTATAACATGTCAAAGATAATTTGTCAACCTTGTCTTGTCTTATGACATAACTACCCTTGAATTCTTTCTGTAGGTAGAAATTAAATTTCTTGTTGGACAGTTTCTCTATTATCAGAATGAGTGGTCTATGTAAATGAATATATAGAATTGAACTTCCAACTGAAAATTTTTTCTTTTTTCTCTGAAATCCTGATGAAATTGATGCCTTTAAACAATCCCTATTTTATTTTTATATAGAGTATGAAGCTGTCTCAGACTGGCCTTTCCATTTTTCTTAAACTTGTATCCCTATTTTACCATCTTAATTTTTTGATTTCTTTATTTCTGATTTTTCTACTCACACCTTTCAACTCTCTCAGTCCTGTCCCATTCTGTGTCATGAATATTTCTCTTCCTCACCTCACAAAACCTGTAAATTCCTAAAATGGTGCATATTCTGTCTTTTTTCTGACTAACTTATGGATCAAATAAGATTTCATTTCCAGTTAGCTCAGGTATAAGACAAATATGAATAAATTTCCATTATAATTTGACCATGGAATTTCTACTATCACCTAGACTCCTTAGAATATTCATGCACAAACTCATAAGCATTGAAAATCAGGTTAAACAAATAAGCAAGTTTGTAATTTTCACATGGGGTGTATATTATAAAAATGCAAATTGATTTTGACTATTTAAAAGTTATAATAAAGTGTTATTAATGGAAGATATTATTTTGAAAGACAATCATCAATTCTTCTTGAGAAAGGTGAACTTCATTCAACACCAAATTCTTTCTATCTTATGTAACATTTGCAATAATTATCTTGTGACCAAAGTGTATTTACTCACATATTTTAACTTAATTAATTGAACCAGAATTCATTCATAGAAAACACTAAGGGGGCTGTACATACATTTATAATTTACCTCAGGTAGCAGGTACAACATCAAATGTTCATGATAAACTAATATTGCTTTATTATGGTGAAGTTCATCATTTTAAGAAAAATAATAGGTTATTGTGTTGGAAACTTGAGAGGCTTTCTTTACATCTGTGGTTCCCAACCTGTGGGGCATGACTCCGTTGGGAGTTTCATATCGGTATTCTGCATATCATATATATGTGTGTATATATAATGATCTGTAACTAGATCGTATTTCCTATTACTAGCAAAATTCTAGTTATGAAGTAGCAATAAAATAACTATGGTTGTGGGTCAGCACAACATGAAGGACTGTATTAAAGAGTCACAACATTAGGAAGGTTGAGAACCACAACTTTAGATAATAGACACTTAGTAGAAATCATCTTATAAGAAAATAATTTTCTATTTCTATCTGGCTACACAGATAAGCAGAAGCTCATACTTATCTTTCAGTGTATCTTACTGAGAGAGGTATTGAAACTTTTACAAACTTTACAGAGCAAATGGTTTAATTCTGGGCGATTAGAATGCACTCAAATTATAGACTTGGGTAACCACTCTTTCCTATTGACCTACAGCTGCCAGGAGCCAGGAGATAGGGTCACAAGGTAATGGAAACCAGGCTGTAACACTATGGAATCAGCTACAGTTCTTGATGGGGAGTAATTACTATAATGTTTTCCTGGAAGCAATTTTGTAATACATTATCAACGCATACAGCTCTCAGTGTCTCAATTTATGTTCTAAATATAAAGTAAATAGTATGAAAAAGTTCTCCATGTGTGAATATCTATGCATTATGCCAGCATTTAAAATTACCATGTACACAAATTTAAATATTTTTTCAATATATTTTAAGTATTTAAATGTACAGATACAGAAAAATTCCATGGTGCATATGATGACTGTTGACATTTAAGTAACAGGAAACCATTACACATTATGTAGCAGATATCACTGATTTACTGAATATTTTCCTTCAATAGTTTCATTTTGCAAGAATTAGTGCTTTAAAAATCAATAATTAATATGCTGAATGAATTTTTGACCAATCTAACAACAACGTTTTTGTGCATGCATTACATGCATGTCCCCTCAGGACACTTACCTTTGGTAAGGAAGCCCGGGATCCAGAACTCTGTGTGGTCATAGTAAGCACAGTGGTGATGCCCAAAGCTACCCTAGCTGGGGCTGCATCCATGTTAATCCAGAATGAGACCCAAGATAGAATAACAATCAGAAGGCTGGGAATGTACATCTGGATCAAGTAGTAGCCCATTTGCCGCTCAAGATGGAACCGCACTTCTATGCATGTAAACTTCCCTAGTTTTTCATAAAAAAAAAACACACAACAATTAAAAGTCAGGTTTTGTTCTGCCATCAAATATGACTTAATTTTCATAATAATTTTACTGTAAGAATTTCTACTAAAATGAAGAGACACATTCAAATTGGGTTTTGTCTTTTAGATATTTTTTTTTTCCTGCTTGCATCTGGAAACAGTGTGACAAAGGAGTGAACTCTTCCAGGAAATAGTACATAATTCTATTTTCATGTTCAAATAGCTTTTCCTACTTGCCAAATTCCTCACAGATTTATTTTTTTCGGTTTCTAACACTTGTCTGGAGGTGTATAGAACAATGCGTGTTTAGTATGCAAAGGTTATCTATATTTTCTGTTTCTGGAGCTTCCATGTACTTATTTAGTCAGCTGCTGTTTGGTTCAGAGATCTTTACATTTCCTTTAAGTGCTAAGAGATAAATGCAAATGGAGATGAGTGGTTTCATAAACAATACTACAAAAAACTAAATATATATAATTTTCCATCAATAACTTTTGAGATAATCTTAGAACACATTGAAAAATGAATGAGCTATATTCATTGTATAAATGTATGCCTTTGCACCTCTGTTATATACCTCTGTTCCTGCAAATACAGGTTATGGATGTTTGACTCAACATTACATTAATATTTCTATTTATCCATTGGTTTTACTTCTGTTCATTTATTTTGACTCCTTTGTTATCAATTCTCCAAATAAATGGTCTTCCAAGTGATTTGATTCTTGGTTTTGTTGTCTATTATTTTGAGTAAGGTGATGTCAGAAAGTTCATATGCTCCTTAAGTATCATTCTCTGATATGACCACAGGAAAAAGATATTAAAGACCATGACTGGGAAAACTGCTGATGTGTGGTGAGCGGAGTGTCCCAGGCAGAGCTCCAGTTAATGTAACGAGCTCATAAGTGATGGTAGAAATGCACAAAGGGTACAGCTTCTAGAGGAGAAGAGAAGTGATGTCAGAACTCTAACATTTCAATAATAGCTTGCAAGCTCTGGGGACAGAGGAGTCCACTTTTTAATATCTAGCAGTCAGAACCTTGTGCAACCCATACATGATCCTTCAGTCAACTTAGCGATGGAATGATTAAAGATTCCTGCTGTATCTGAAAATATTTTGATTTTTAAAGTATTATTAAGTATAAAATTTAAAACACTTGCTATAAAGAAAATGAAATAGAGCAAGATTAATTGAAGTATTTCTATACCAATATTAATCCAATAAGTAATCTCACGACAAAAGTGGGAGTCACTTACTTAGCATTTGTTCTCCAGGTTTCATATAATTCTCAAGGAATACACAAGCTTTCCCTGTGTATTTATTTTAAAAGCACTTTGTAAATATAGCTAGGCTGGAAAATGAAGTCAAACACATGTGCAAGTATTATGATTGTACCTAAAGGCACATATAAATATATATGTAGTTATGTGTACTATTTCTGCGTTTGTGCACATGTGCATTTTTATGTGGCTGTGAAGAGAGAAAAATGTAAAGTTGGGCCACAGTGAAGAGAGGAAACTACAACTCACGCAGAACAAAATGGACACATTTAGCAATAGCAGGAAAAGAGGAAGATTTTAGAGGAATTCACATGAAACAGATCACATGATCCTGAAGTAGGTAAACGTTTAGATTAGTGCAATTTAGGTTTTGTTGTTGCTGTAGTTTTTGCTTTTTTTTTTTTTTTTTTTGATTATTTTGATATAGTCTCACTATGTAGACCTGATTGCTGATTGGCTTGGGACTTGCTATTTAGACCAGGCTGGCCTGAAAGTCATGGGGGTCACCTTGCCTTTGCCTACCAAGTGCTGGGATTCAAAGCATGTGCCATCACCCCCAGGTATGCAGTTCATCTATATCGAAAGAACTAATAACTTCAATAATTTTATTTCCTTGGAAAACTGGACATTTATAACAGGATTTTTGCATATTCTTTTTTTTCTTTTACTTGCAGAGGGAAGTTGTGATATATGAGCTTACATTTGAAAACAATTAAAATAGAAGTCTTGTATGTTGGGGGCATAATATAAAAGGGAGTTTAAAGTGTGATACAAATTAGTCACATATGTGAATGAAGACATTACCAGATGTTTCTATATCATTTTGAGCAGTGATACTTTGGGCATACTTTCATCTTTTATATTATACAAATATTAGACAACTAAGTCTTCTAGAAAACTCCTACCCAATTAATTGCTTGACGTATGCACTCATAAATGTGAGCTGAAATATGAAAGTATGTGAATGTACTTTGTGCTAAGATGAGTCTCCTGACCCTGTATCATCAAAATTCTCCCCCAGATGATGTCTACAGAGTCACCTATGTTCTATGTTGAATGTGTCCTTCTAAAAATCACATCCTTGGAGAATCTGTGAGTTTAACTTTATTTACAAAAATCGACTTGAAGATATAATCAAGTTAAAATGAATTATTTATCTCTATTAATGGGACCCTATTCTAATACCACCAGTGTCCTTGTAGGATGAACGATATTTGGCTGCAGAGAAAGGGATGCATGCAGAGTTCAGCACGTGATTATGGAGAAAGAGACTAAAGTGATGTATTTGTAAGTCAGCTAATGCCAAGAGCTGTCAAAAATAGGAAACTAAGAAAATGTCAGGGAAGGAACATTCCTTGGAGCCTCCAGAGTAAACATACCATTGCTGATACCTGATTTTTTTTTTATATTTAGCTTCTAGAACTTTGCATGAATAAACTTCTGTTGTTTTAATTTATGAAATTTATGGTAGTCTGCGATTACAGTCTGAGGAAACTAATGTACTTCCATATACTACCTCTAGAAATCTTTTCAATATATTCTAAAAGAAGTTATCAGTTTCTCTGTACTTAGAGAAATGGGCAAGGGCACCGCCATTGGCTTGTCAGTTCTTTAATTTTATGCTTAGATGTTCACCTTGAACTTGCTCATAAGTTAGCTAACATCTTCATCTGTGAGTTGAAAATGGTAATTAAAAACTTAGATATTGTGAGTTAGTAACAAAGATAAGGGAGACTGGGGACTATGTGGGAGGAACACAGAGCTCCCAATTCTGGGAAATGCCGAGGTCACAATGAAATCCTACTTTACAATAATAACATAGAAAGAATAAGTTGATATTAGCATGCCAGCATCAGGCCATATACACATCTCTCTGGGGGGAAGCTTGGCTTGTGGGGTAGATTCATGGCATTTATAGTTGGAATAGGTTTATAAGAATAGCCCACAACAATTAGAAGTGAATAGACTTCATAAGGGTACAAATACCACATTGAGTTTGTTAACCCTCAGTGCTAGTTGTTAAATATGGTATCTACTCAAGACACAAGGTTCCTCTATAAGTCCAAGAAGTAACTGAAAATAGAAATTAATAAAAATATTAGAATAAATAGAAAATAGGAAAAATGTTTTTGAATGCATGAAAATATGGCCAATGATATCATATTTAAAGCAAGTCCTTTTGTTAACATATACAGTGTTTACTTCCAAAATCAGTTTAAATTATTTTCCTATGGAAATAAAGAAACATGTTTAGAAACATGAAATTACACATATACGTGTTGTTCCATAAAGAATTTTCAAGTGTAACTGAGCATCAAGTATTTCTTTGGACTCATATAATTCAAATACAACAAGAATCAGTGAGTGAAAGCATACATAAATTTTGAAATAGTTAACTTTATACTCCATGAGCTAAAGAAGTTAAAATTAACACAACATTATAATTTTAACAATCTGTATATTGTAAGATCAGAAACTGTAATCATAGAGAAAAATACTCAGTCCCTACCTGTATTGTAGTGTTTAGTGCAGTATCGCAAATCTTTTTCTTCTTTCAACAGAAATTGGGGCAAAGTGAGTCCTTCGGCCACTTGTACTGGTGCCTCATCTTGCCATTCAAAAATGAGATCATTCATTGTGTACCCAACTAGACAAAATGTTATAGAAATGTTAGTAGCCAAAGGAAGACATTCAAATAGAAGCAATAAGAACTTTCTTGCATAGTCACATGGAATGAGAGGCTCATTAAAACCTAGAGTCTATCATCTGAATAATGTATTTCAGATTCCACTTCCCAAAGTCTATCAACAGTGATGTAAGAAAAAGAAGTCCACTTGGAAGAACACAACATGGATGTTAGTATTTATTCTCTCATGAGGATAGAAAGCTCTTGGATTAATTCATCAATTTTTTACATTATTCCACTACCTTTAATTTCAAGGACTACTCAATAAAGCCAAATAATCCCAGTTTAGAAAGTGAATTAAAGTATAAATATCTCTGGGGAAACTATTAATGCCTGATGCCTTTCTTGCTTTAATCATCGCAGTTTATATAATCTGCTTCTGGGTCCCAAGTCCCAACATGGACAAAATAATTTGAAAATGCAAGCTTGTTCTATTTGATAAAACATACACTTCAAGTAGTTTGACACATGGTTATGAGCTCAGTATAGACTTACAAATGAGTTTTTCAATAAGTCACAAGTGTTTATTAAGTTAAAGTATCAGATTTTGCTTTGGAGGGGCTTAATATAAGCAGAATTTTATCTTTTTCCCAGCTGAATGAAAATTATGGAAATGTATGCTTCAGTGTTATTTGTCGTGGTGGAATCTAAGTGGATGTGAAGAGGGCTGTTTCCGTTCTCATCAGTCAATTCCATAGATTTAGAAGGAGAAAGGAAACATGATGTGACTCCTGAATTAAGTCAACTGGTTAAATCAGTAAATTGTTCCTATCTCTGGAGCTGTGTACAGGGGTGTTTCTAGCAAATATTCATGCAGTGATTTGGCACAGCTTTTGTGTAAGTTAGACAATGGGTAAGAGGGGAGCTCATCACTCTCCACTCTCTTTCAGAATGTTCCAGAAATAGTGGAATCTGGTCTAGTTGCAGAGGCCATAGGGCGTGTGCTCTATGGGTAGAGGAGACCATGGTGGCAAGTATCAATGATCAAATCTGCTTAGATGCCCTAGGATTTGGCTAACAAGTTTTCACAGGCACCATCAGCGTTTCGAGTCTTGGTTCATTATGGAGCAAGAAATATTTGGTACCATCTGTATGGTCCTACAGATTGAAAGGTGCCATGTCTGAATTTTGGTTCAAAAATAGATATTTAACTACAAGTGGTTCTCAACTTTCATAATACTGGAACCCTTTATTACAGTTCCTCATGTTGTGTTGACTTCAATCATAAAATTATTTTCATTGCTACTTCATAACTGTAATTTTGCTATTGTTATGAATCACAATGCCTATCTGACACACAGGATATCTGATATACAACCTCAAAAGTGTCACTACCAACCAGTTGAGAACTACTGTTCCAGACATAATGGTTGGTTTATTTATCCTAGAATATCTTTCAGTGAAACATGAAATTAATAATGATTGGATTGGTAATAAAATAATGATTTACTCTTTTTGTTGCTGTTTTGTTTTGTTTTCCAGACAGGATTTCTCTAGGTAGCTCTGGCTGTCCTGGAACTCACTTTGTAGAACAGGCTGGCCTCAAATTCACAGAGATCGGCCTACCTCTGCCTCCCTGAGTGCTGGGATTAAAGGTATGTGTCACCACAGCCAAGCAAGAGTGATTCACTCTTATTCATAAACCCCTTAATATGTGCGTTATAGATCACACTCTGCTTAAAGACAACACAGATGCACATTTCTCAGTGATCTAAAGACAGTAAGAGAAGCTCCAATTTTATCTGCTGTCAGATGAGACATGTATCTTACAATTCATACAAAGAATCACAGAAGACAAAGTATCTGAAATTGTTTGCCCCAATTTAGATAGATGAATGAAAAGATAAACTAAACCTTTTTCTGTTTTGACATAATAAAGGCTTTGTAAAATCTTCTGGAAATGGAAACTAGCTGTCTGAAGTTCCATTGAAGCCAAGCTCTAATTTTTCTCTCATCCAGTTTATAGGAGCACATATAGCTTGTTATGTGGTGAAGAACTATTCACATCAAGTGATGATGAATGTACATTTTACAGCCACATTACCGTATTTATTTACAACTCACAGCAGGTTCAAGCTTGAAAGTGGATGGTAAATAATAAGATGACCCTGTTTAAAGAACATTTCCTTTATTCTGAGTAACTTATGTCTTTGAAGGAAACTTAATGGCATTATTGCCTCAGTAAACCTTCAAACAAACTTTAATAGATTCTCTTCCACAGGGTTCAAATTGTTTTTATATCCTTTTCTTTTGGCTAACAAATTTTTATAGAAGCTTAAGAATATTAAGGAAAACAGATTGAGTAGTGAGAGCAAGGTGATAAACTTATTTGCCTTATATTGCATAATAATATCACAACGAAAAAATAATTTACCCAATGAACAAAGATTTTAACCTGAACATGTCCAACAACTTCGTTTGAAGACTATGGTGAAACCTGTAAATGGATGTCTCAATTCTCGATTTTCAACAAGTATTTATTGAATACCAACTGTCAGTCGGTCATTGTGCTCCATTTGAGTTGGACCTTGATAGAAAAGAATGGCCCCCAAACGAAGAACACAAAATAAAGAGAACTTCAGGAAAATGGAAAAGCAAGTTTGTTTGAAGAAAATTAAAAACACCCTTCCTTGTAATAGATATTAGTAGTAGTTCTTTTCATTCAGATCTAGTTTGCATAAAGAAGTATCTGAAACTGACAGACAAATCAATACATGTTTATGTCAGGTTAGATTCTGAGTTGAAAAACTGACTTTTTAAAAAAAAAATCTATAAGTAACATTAGGAAATTGGTATCTTTAGAGAAATGAAGTGAATTTATAAAATAGTGTTTTATACTCACGATATCATGATTTGTATGAAAGGATCTTGTGGTGGTAATCTAATTGTACTGAAATATTATTTTGATTATATGTTAATAAATAAAGTTGTCTGGGGGTCAGAGCTATTAGAGCCATAGCAAGAGTGTGGCTGGTGGCACACGCCTTTAATCCCATAAGATCTCTGTGTGTTCAGGGATACAGTCAGCATTGGAGACATATGCCTTTAAGACCTAGGGGGCTGTACATTCAGACAGTGACGAGGCAGTCATGTGTGTGGGTTTACAACCAATGAGAAGGCAGAACAACATACTATAAAAAAAACGAACCGACAGGAAGTAGGTCTCTTTTCGCGAAGCTGGGACAGCAGGAAGAAGGGTGAGATTTTAGCTCTGACTTCTCGGCTTTCTCTTTTACATTGTTTCTGTGTTTCTTATTTAATAAGACGGTTGGTTACATCTACAGGATCTGGCTGGTGTTGTGGTGATATATTGTGTTCCCAATACATTGTGCACCCTAATAAAGTTTATCAGAAAAGCAGAATGAAGCCAGCCATGTTCTCACCACTTGGAGATCCTAAGCCAAAGAGACCTACTTCTTTTATACCCACACCTATATGCCTTCCTGTTTTGCCATCTCATTTCCTCTCTCTTCCCTGCTACATCACTTCCTCTTCCTGCCCAGATCTGTCGCTTCCTGTCTGTCTGTACAGACCTCCAGACCTTTATGGTTAGTACTGGAATTAAAGGTATGTACCACCACTGCCTGGCTCTGTTCCCAGTGTGGCCTTGAACTCACAGAGATCCAGACAGATATCTCCCTCCCGAGTGATAGGATTAAAGGCATGTGCTACTATTGCCTGACCTCTATGTTTACTATAGTGGCTAGCTTTTTCCTCTGATCTTCAGATAAACTTTATTAGGGTGCACAATATATTGGGGACACAGTACATCACCACAACACCAGCCAGTTCCATTCATACAAATCACAAGGCTCAAAGAACTTTCATGGTCATAATGACATTTTATTTGTATTTCCCATTGTTCTAACATTTTCCCTGATATTGAAACAGTGGTAGGTAATGTTTTAACACAATACAAGCAGTGGCACCAGGCTGGGCTGGAAGTTACTGTGTTCCTAAGTGCCATATCCCTTGGGAAAGAATGCCATTTTCATTTAACTATGCCCATGGCTGATGAAGCAGTAAAAACTTTGTGATCAAAGCAATGTTTCAAAGGTGTCCTTGATCCTCAGATTAGTAACAAGTACTAATTTACTAAAGTTTGATCTTTATGTAAATATCTTTGAAATCTGTGTGGCCAAGTTGGAATCCTGTATACAGCACTCATCTGCATACTGTAAATATAAGATTTCAAGGAACAGTGTTAGTCAATTAAGGGATAAACTGAACTAAGTTCTTTTTTCTTGATTTGGGTGGGTGCATATAATTTTTACTTGAAAAGTGAAATGATCTACTAATAGTGTTTCCTAGGTACTTGACAGTCCGATTTTAAAAATGTGTATGATATGGGTATATACCATGGGATGGAAACTGACAATAGTTGTTGTGAATAACAGATTCTGAAATTTCAAGCCAAAATTAGATGTTTGGAGAAATTATTTTCTGCAAAGCTACTTGAACAACCAAGAACCTGAGACTAGATAGCTCAGGGACTAGGTAAAATCAAATACTACTATTCTACTAAAAGAACATAGAAAAAAACCTCCAATAAAACATTCTATTATACTCATTATACCCATAGGCCAGTGTCTTGCTCAGACATCATCAGAGAAGCTTCCTTATGTAACAGATGGGAACAAACACAGAAACCCACAACCAGACATTATGCAGAAAGTAGGAGACAGTCAGGCCTAAACAGGATGTCTCTATCAAATCCCTCCCCTCAGGGCTCAGAGAACCCTGCGGAAGAGGAAGTGGAAAGACTGTAAGAGCCAGAGGATACTGAGGACACCAAGAAAACAAGACCTTCTAAATCAGCACGATCCATGCACATATGAACTCACAGGGACTGAGGAAGCATGCACAAGGTCTGCAGGGTGAGCACCAGATGAGGTCCTAGAGTTGAAGGGAGAAGCAAGCAGACATGTGTCCTATCTCTAACCCAGAAACTATCTCCAATT